TACACGCTGTACCTTTTTATCTTGATGTTTAGACACGATTTCAACGACCTGTAATACAAGGTCGTTTAACGTTACATAAACGAGTTAAACCAACGAGTCTTATGTCATAAGATGCGCCCGATGTCTGTTTGCATTAGCGCAACCGCTGCAATCGTCGAACTATTGAAACCCGTACACTTCTTATCACTTCCGGATTGATTCTAGCACATACTTCAATCACTCTTTGCTTCGTATCTTCTGGTGTTATCACCTTTGCCTGGTACACAATATTTTTTTATGTCCCTTAAAGATAGAAATCAACGGTGCTTCGCACATTATGCACATACACAGTACGAGCTATACACTCAATAGGGGATCTTCTTCGCAGGCCGTGTGATTCACCTGTAACTTTTGTAAAATAAACTTTCCTGGTATCTCTGCAAATAAGAGAGACACTCCCCAGGTGGTTAAAGTTATTACCCCACCGTGTATAAGTGGTATACGAATTTAAGACTGCGATCATTCACCGTACCATGATAATGGTATGTCCATAATTATTGGTTAATTTTAGTATTCGCAACTTTTCGTTATCTTTGCATAGTTAATTTCTTAACTTGACATTTTGTTATCATTATTGATAGTATACGTTTCGGTTAATTATCGGTTTGGTGCTGTAGTCAGCAGTGCTGTTTATTCGAGGGGCCAGTTTTCTCAGACTCTCATGAATTTATAAAATCGTTCTTAGGATCGGTGGCGTGCTCGTGTAGGTCCAACGTGAACGTAAAACGGTGCAACACACGATGAAATTTGTAACAATCGTTGATAATCAGGCTGAACAATTTTTTATATATAAAATGATATAAATAGGTGTATTTCGATATTGGCGTAAACGTGTTGCGATGTAAAATTCAAATTCGAAAGATCGTAATTGTTTTCTGCGGGAAATTTTTCAATTCACATCGCGATTTCTGCATTAGTTAGAATTGTTGACGAGTTCAATTCGCGATTGGAGATCTCGAACGAAGGTTCCTCAGGGCAATACCCCTTCGTTATCAGAGATCGCAAAACGTTGAATCGCGTGACGGTAACAATTGCGGAGGCAGTTGTGAAACGGCGAACGTAGAATTAAAGTTGATGGAAGGGAACGAACGCTTTCGTTATTTTTTGTATACTTAACAACAGGAATGCGTAAAGAAGCAACGAGAGTCGACCCAGACAGATTCGTCCCTTTTGTTCATATTTTGCTCTCGGCCGGAGAACGATCTCGAAGAAATCGAAGATTCGGCAAATTCCCAACATAGTTGAACAACACGAAATAATACGAACAACGTCGATCAATACGAACTAGAATGCTTTGTTATTCCTTTCAAGTCGAGAATTATTCTAAATTGCTGCATAATGCTGTACAATTGAGAACTCACGATTTGCAAATAATGAAAGGAGAGTATTGTAATAGCGATTATACAAATCTTTCCTAATCAGATTTCAGCGTTACACAATATAATTAACATAATCATGGGTTACTTTCGCGAGCATAGAATTATCCTTTGCGCTGCGATACATGTTCCGTAGCTTTCGTGTGAATTAACATACGCAAACAAACATCTAAGAACCAAAACATTCTGCGCATAAAATGTACACTTATTACATTAGACCAAGAAAAAAAAAAAACAGAAACAAAAATAACGAGAAGGAAGAGAAGCATTCTCCTATTCGTTTAACTCCGAAGAGTAAACTGAATTGGCTGTGTACACATCATCGACGCCACGAGCCAAATAATTATTACGCTAATCCTTTAATTGGCCGAAATCGACGATCCATCGAGCCACTTTAACGTCGCATCTTTCTGCCAACAGTAAACGTGACCGTTCTATTTCATTGGTTCGAGGCGTGCCTGTTCGCGAAGTCGTTGCCTGCTACTTGCTCTTCTCGTGCATTGTTGCCTCAATAATCACTTTGATCCCCGGGCAGCGCCGTATTCGATCGACTAGACGTTGTTATTTGCCCTGCTGCGCCTGCATGCGTGCCGCGTACGCTTTATTCGTAACGGAATTTGGTCGTTTTTCTTTTTTTTTTTTTTTCTTTCTTGCCGGGACCAGCGATTCGTGGCCGGTTCCAATAGTAACGAGCAAAAAGGGCTGCTGCCGGTCACGGCAAATGACAATGAGGAGGAGAGGAGAGGCCTTGCGCCGGTGGCGATTCGCATGAGCGGAATTGAATTCGAATCGAGCCCGAAACTCCCTGGAGATCCACGACGGAAACACCATTATACGGACGAATTACTGTGAACACACCCTAGTCATTGTTACTGTAGCCACAATACCTTGCTATTAAGCATTCGTACACGTATTTTTCTTTACCGCTGCCTTACCATTCACGGCGCTGCCAACGCGGCTATTTCCTTCGATCATAACCGCGACGTGTTCCATTCGAGGAACGTTGTCCTTTTTCGATCTTCGTACGTATATGATTCACAGGATCCGCAGGAAAAGATTTATACAGAGTGTTATCGGAAATGATAATGTGATAGGGGATGACGAATGAGACATTTTTTCATTTAGATAGAAATAGAGAAAGAAACTTTAGTGTAGAAGTACAGCGCCTACCGATGAGCAACCCGTAATACATGTAGTAGATTTATCGATTAATTCATTTTTATATCAGAAAGTTCACATCTAATTTATTTTCTGTAAATCACTACTAAAGTCTGCGTTCGTTTTGCTCAGACAGCCAGTATATGGTAGATTGTTTGTTATTGCACGTTTAATATATGCACGTGTTACCCTAGTACGGTGTTCGGGTCTTTTTTGACCCAGAGACTTTGAAGGTGTAATCGAACGGAAGAACGCACTATCGTACTATCTGGATCACTGATCTGTAACAGTTATCGCTGTCGTCGACTAATCGAGACGATATCATACGAAACACCTTGCTCTACTATTTTGAATCAATTACCCAATATTTGTTTGGCGGGTAAATACCAGTCGTGAATGAGAGTTCACGATTGAAACGCGACACGCACCGCGATGTATGTTGCGGTAGAAGCTTCCGGTTCCTAACTTGGCAATCACGGCGACCTTGTTAAGTGTCACGTTGAAGTCTGTTGTTAAATTTACTAAAACCGGGGTACACGGTATAATTTCAAAAGCAAGAAAAATTGTATAGAACGATGTCATCTTTACCGACTGTTCTTGGGAATTTGAAAATATCAAATATTCATTCCAGTCTTTATTACACATTTCAATAAATTAACAGTAATTGTTTACACGACACATTTTCTCATAAAGAAAAAGAAAGATAAATTTAATTTTCAAGGAGACATTTTTTTTTTATTCTTTCAGCGTCACTTTTAAGTCTGAATTTTTCCTCTAACAAGTATTTATTACTATGTACTTCAATCACTTCTCTTATTCTTTATAAATTCGACAAATGCAAAGTGTAACGAATGGAAATTGCGATTGTGAAGTTTTCGTTTGCAAACAAAATTTCGTATTTGAATGTTCGATTTTTAATTCAAGAGATTCATGTCCAACCATGGCTACCTTTCGATAACGCATGGTATACATTTAATACTTTATGAAATGACAGTAAATCGTAACATAAATCTGTCTCTACTCTTCAGCATAAAACCTGAGACATAAAGCGAGATAATGAAACGCAATTTGCATTGCCACATTTACCAAAAATCGAGTATCCTTAACTCGCCCGCTAACCTGATTGCAAACAGCACGTAATGCTGTGCAATTACGCGTGAAAATTGATACATAACTTTGTATACAATAATCTCCCGTATATAATTATGCGTGAAAGTTGCTGTATAATATCGAAATGTCAATGATAAATATGGCGCTTACGTATTTTCATGCATGTAAACACGCCTAACAGAGTCACGCCACATAATAAAGCTCTCCGTGAAAATTCACTCGCGAAAGAAATATTAACGAGAATGAATTCAAACATGTCCGAATTTACCATGTTATTATTGGCAACAACTGTCACTTGTTTTAATTTTTAATTATATTTTTATTTGCGATATGTTATATACTTCACGGTGTAGCCGTGACTTTTTGTACAAATGAATGTTTCTTTTGAAACCAACGACAAAGTTGACTTTTTCAAATCAAAATTTACCGCTTTATATATAATAAAATTGAAGTATTAAATTGTACCGTATCTATGTTCTGTTATGTTTCTAAATATTTGGACAATGTTTTCAAACAAAAAGAGCTTTATTGGAAAAATCATGAGACTCCAAAGAAAGTGATCAATTTGAAAATATCGAAAGACTTAAAAAGAAAATGGAATTAAATGAAGCATGCTGAATGGACCAATAATTTTGTCCACCCTAAATGTGGCCGCTATTCCATACCCATGTTGCAAAAGACGTAGTACACGAATTGGTAGGTAAATAGTAGTTAATTCAGTAGGTAAATTAGTAACAGATACAATTTACATATAATTAGATAATACTTAACATCGACGTGGTAATCAAACAATCTGCAATTATAAGCTTCTCATTGCGAATGTATATAGTATACAATGATCGTACGATTTACAGTAATTACATTCAGCAAACCATTCATTCGATATTAACAGTCATTGTCGTCATATTAGAAAAACCAATTGAAGAAGATAATAGACCCCGAAGGGTGTCTATTAAATGTAAATATGTATCTGGTTCTGGCTTGATGAAAAGGAGATTGTTCATAGCGAAAGGAAGTCGAAGATCCTTCTTTCCTCTTTCTCCGTATATCTGTCTATCGTGGAAATAATTGTGGCAAGTCATTATCGTGCAAGCAAGAGAAAGAGGGGACTTTTCTTTACCGGTGGCTAGTTTGATATAGGCACACTCGAGCGTATCGCGGGTCATCCGCTCCTGGTGTGCAAGCTGGAACAGTTTTATGTATAGAAAGATTTGAGGAATCGACGATAAAAGCTCACAGAGAATTCATTCATACGTCCCACCCTCCCGGTTTCTTCGGTTCATCCAACAGACGAGGGAACTCATGAGCCAGTGCCTCCCAATCTTCCGGGCTCTACCATGAGTTTCTACCACGCTAGGCTTCTTTCAATTGTGCCTTCCGCGAATCGTTTAATTCGGCTTAGTCGGTTAAGATTGCGATTTTTTTTAGAAACCGTTGCCTTATTACCGTTTGCAGCCGTCTTGCGTGCAGGATGCTTGAAATAGATTACACTTAATTTTAAAAGCACTTAGTTTACACGTTGACGAAACCATTAGTCGAGAAATTACTTGTTTTCGAGTTTCGCAGTTCGAGTCGGCAGTTTCGTTTATGGAGTTATGTAAAAATGATTATCGGAAAGTAAAGTGTAAGATATCGAAATATTTAACACAATTACCATGGACTGAGCATTAAGGTAAACGTTGGGCTTTTAGAATGTTTTCTTTAGCAAAAAGTAACATTCCGGTAAATGAAAGACCTTGTTACTTAACTTGTGGTTTTGCACGTTCCAATGCTTTTTCGTTCGCTTTTGATTAACAAAAGTGGTTTAGAATATTTTTCAACGTATGTGTCTTAATACATGCAGTATGTCTTTATTTTATATGTAATAATATGAATAACAGATAACAGAATAGAAAATATTTGCCAACGTTGAAAATTGTACATGCCTTATTTTTTTATCTTTGATTGATTAATACGTTCATTATTTGACAGACATGAGTCGTACTACTTATCGGTTTTCTTAGGAAGTTATTCAAAACGAAATATTTATCTGCCGTTGGGCAATTAAAAAATTATTTCAAAATCGTATTTAAACTGAACCACATAAAAATGCAAAGCGGTGCATTTTACGAAATAACGAATAATTTGTGTCGTGAAAGAAGGTAACCTACAGATATTTTATCATATTTTTAAACTACTTTAGCAGACAGATATGATAGCTATTAATTAACTACGTTATTCGTTAAATGATAAAAAAAAAATAATTATTCTTTACATTTATTTCAACAAATGAAACCTGTAAGATATTGTATCTTGATTTAATTACAATAAGAATAATTTCATTCGACATTACTTATCCAAACAATCAATGAAAAGAATGCACCTTACAGGCAGACATTAATTAATATCGCTAAGCAAACGGAACTTGGTAAATATTGCCCTAACGAAGTGGGAGTGGAATGAATAAGAGAAAGAAAAGTAAACACAAGAAAAAAGTTAGATAATGTCAGATTAAAGGTTCAGTCTTCTGATGTTCAATTACTCTTATAGATAGAAGCTTGGCCCACACGGTCACTGGCTTTTTTTTTCTTTCTCAGCATTCTACCCTTTCTTTCTTTTTTCCTTCATCTTCTTCTTCTCCTTCTTCTTTATACTCCCATCGGAAGATCTTCCACCGAATCTTTATGATCCACGCTTCAGGGTACGCATTGGTCGATTATAATCGCTACGAAACACGCCCTGGAATTAATCATGATAAAATTAATAGGGTCCCATTACAGGACGCCTGTATATAAATGACGGTCGTGAGTTGAAGAAAAAAAAGAAAAGAAATGTGAAAGAAAAAGGAAATGAAAAAAAAGAAACTGAAATATTTTTATACGAACGATGAATGAGATTCATTTGACATAGCACAATTTATAACGTCGATCGTTTCAGATTATCCTTTCCCTCGGGACACTCGTCGTTCTCGGCCTACACGATGATCTACCTTGCGGTAAGTTCCCCTTTTTCGTTGCTCTTTCCATGGAATTTATGATTATGTACGCTCGCTTGGTGGTTCCATAATCGATTCTTCTTTTTTCCTGAAGCGAGAAATTTGTGTGGTAGCAGTGAAATGTGTACGTAACGCTTCTGCCTTCAGAAAAAACATATATATATATATTTTTTTTTTTGCTCTTTAAGTGCATGACACAGTTCATTTTTTACAATGTCGATGAACGTGAATTTTTTTTTTACAATGTACATACCTACATGACGAGATATTCTTTTACATCCTCATAGACAAAGTTGTAAGATGATGACATCAAGATTATGCGATCATCAAGTAGTGAAGTCATTCTCCATATCTGAAAGGAAGAATTGAAAAAAAAAAAGAAGACAGACATTGGAATATGTAAATGCTTCGTTTCTTTACAAATTCTTTTACTTGATTCATTCGTTCTTTCCTAAGAAAAACTCTTACGTAATACTGTCCTACTTCTGTTGCATTCAACCTTTTTTTTTCAACAAAGAATATTCAACTAAAGAGGGTTTATCTATAATATTAATCGATATTAAATATTCAATACTACGCGATAACCATTTCTGCGAAAGAATGTGTTTCATTGGAAGATTAGAATTCTATTCATTTTTTAAAGGAAAACCACTTCTTTTTATAAGAGTGATTATTTCAAATTCAATGATAACATGCAATGTTTTCCTTACTTGTATATGCAGGATGGGGCAAAAACTGTCCACCTGGGATACTTCCGTTATTCGTAATAATATGGAAAAATGTTGTATACAAAACTTGAATAATATGGTAAGTGACATAATGTGATGTAAATAGTTTCTACGTGGGTGAAAGCGTAGAGGAGATGTGAAGGTCATCTCTATTTTTATAAACGGAATGCTGTGTTTTTGTTGTCGCTGCGTTATAACCTCTGTTGTAGTGATTTCAACACGTTATCGTTAAATGTAATTCAAGGTCACTGAAGATCGTGAAAGAATTATTATTACTTTGTAATTGCGAAACCGTGAATACGTCTTATCATCACTGGATTTATTCTAGCAAATTCTGTAATTCATTGATTCTTACGTTCGTGTAAACTGTTGGGTAGTTGAATACACCGCGCTGCGAAGCCAGCGCCGCCAATGACGTCATACGACGCCGCAAATAGCTTCGCCTCGGGCCACGTGCTCTTTATGATATTCGATCAATTACCAATAAAGTTAATATATGTACATTACAAAGTGTCTTGCAATTGATGTCTAGTGAACTATTTCTCATTTCTACTACGCGGAACTCTACATAAACAGATAGTTTTACCACAAAGCTTACGTTCTAATAATTACGTCGTAATAATCATTCGATGCAGCTACAAACGTATCGTGGCAATTTACGACATTTCGTGGAATATCGATAGTCAATATTAATTGATTGCTGAATCAGATATCACCGTGGTAATTATGATGAAGTTTACTCTTCAAGAACAAGTGGATATGATACTCATTTATGCGGAAGCTGAGCAAAATTCAATAAAAGCTAAAGCGTTGTACGGTGAACGATATCGGAATCGTACACAACCTTCGCAACAGATATTTGAAAAATTGTATAAAAAATTTAGAGAAACCGGAAGTTTGGATACACCTACAGATTAATTCCCGACAAATTAAACGCGAGCCTGCTGTCAGCAGGAGGAGCATGTCTACAAAGATTTACATATGTACATATTACGGATTTTATGAATCGCGAATGAGGCAACGGATTACTGCAGCATGTGCTGCAATAAGTGCAGATGCGATGTGACGTGCACGTGATTCATCGATACAAAGATTGCAACCTTATATCGACACAAATGGTCAACACTTTAAATGTCTTCTGTAATACGAGAAAGTTTATTGTACCACTATATTTGACTTTGAATTACCATTAATGATACTGAAATCATCACAACAGCTGCTGTCACACAGTGATAAATAAAGTATCTCATTTAAAAAAAAATAGAAACGATTTTGAAATTTTCTCTACGCCTCCACCCACGTAAAAAGTGTTTACATCACATTATATCCTTCTGCACATAATAATAACGGATATTTACCAAGTGCACAAAGTTTTTGCGCCACCTTGTACATAAAATGTATACACGTTTTGAAAAGAAAGCTACCAGGTCCTGCAGAAAGTTGTTGTTTGTTCGGTAGAATATAATAAAGTAATATATTTTTCTCAAGTAAGCGGTTTTATTCTTCAAAATAATTTCCATTACATTCAACAACTTTCATGAATTTGTTTCGATATTTTCTCGTAGGTAATCATTGTTCACTGTTGGGCTTCCTATACACGTGGGCCATTTTCAAGAGTGTCATCTTCAGATCGAAATTTCATAAACTAGAATTGTGCTTTACAATCGTTAAGAGTATCTTTCTCAAATTCTTGACAAATATTTCGAGCTCCTTCTGTTGCTTTCTTTTCGACAGTGTTTCAATTTGTACAGCAACGCAGAGCAGATGTTTGAAAAATAACATTTTCGTAATAACTCTTTCAACGTTATGCGATTTCCTTTCGTTTTTTATAGCTCTACTTACAATTAAGGATGACATGGAAAGGTAGCAAATTATTGAAACACTTCCTGCAACTGCTGTGCCTACTTATGGCCTGGTTTACAGCATTATCTAGAGTTTCTGATTATAAGCATCATTGGAGCGACGTTTTGGCCGGCACGACCCTTGGTACTATCGTGGCACTAGTCGTGGTGAGCATTATTCTTCTTAACTATCCTATTGTATGTTCATAAATTATATACGATCGTGAATGTGAAATATGCGATGCACCTATTTAGCCGAGAGAACTAATAAAAAAATACAAATACTACATAGCATAGTACATAGCATATTTTCTATACAGAATTATTCTTATTTGAGTTCATTTATTACTACATATAGAATATTTGTTGCCTTAGTTCTGTTTTATCCTGAATCACTTAGGTAGAGTCTTCTTGTTCTCATAGCTGGTTCCACGTAGTGGAAAATATTTCTTTTTGTCTTTTTCTGCATTTATCATTCCGAAGGTATACGTCGATAATGATCGATAAATTTCTAAATTTTTTCGTAGGCGAACTGCGTGGCAGACCTGTTGAAAGAGCGGAGCCATTGTTTAATGGAAGAGAAGCACCGAGCGGCCGATTACGAAACAGGGGGCGGTACACAGGTGAATAATGGCACTACTAATCGCAACTGTTGACCTAACGAGCTAGCTCTTCGCTTGCTGACCACAACAAGGCCGTGACTGTCTTCTAGTTATTTCTGGGAAGCTAGTCTGGTCTCAGGAACAAAAACACGCTGGTCACCTGGAATCGAGCATCAGAATATGGTGTCTCAACGCTGGTGTCGCGAATTTTTTCATTAGACAACAAAACTGCCTTACATGCTGGCGACCATACATCATGTACAACCTTCTCGACGATTCTTCTAGATGTTGCCGATCCAACATCCTTCATCATCCGTCATTAATGCCGTCGGCTGATTCCATGCATCAAATTCCTGTAAAAGAAAAGAGTTCCGTGTGATGAAACACGCTTACGAATCCTTATTTCGTATGATGCTTCGTGACGAAACTTTTTTTTGGTAACGTCTCCTTTACGTTTGATCAAAGTTTGTGGTCAGTTTTATAAGGTTTTATCATTATTCTGCCGTTGTTTTTGTTGGTGGTGGTGGTGATGGTGGTGGTGGTGGTGGTGATGGTGGAAGAACTCTTATAAATACGTAACGAAGAGTAAATTATATATTGTTTGTGTCCTGTTGTTGTCTTAGATATGCCGTTTAATTCAAGGGATGTTGATCGTTATCTTTTATTTCGTCCAAAATTTTGTCCGTTTTCTATAAATTTCTATATAGCTCTTGAATAAATCTAACCCTGTTACTTTATAGTAGCTTACCGAAAAAAGTAATGGCTCTTTTTATCGGATTGAAGGTTATATTTTGAGACACAACAGTGAGAAGGATTATTATTTTTTAGCGATTACTAGATTATAAAAGCGACAGTTGTACAGGCAATACCGTGTTTGTAGTTTCGACGAAGATGTATTTATTTCTTGTTGAGCGCTATTTATTTATAGAGGGAGAGAGAGAGCCGTAAGCAACGTACAAATATTTTTTCTGCTGACCCAAGGTATAGCTACTCGTTGTTTACGTAAAAATTTGCTATATTTTTTGATTAGAAAGGAAAGAAAAGAGGCAAACGCGGGATATATTCGTTTTTATTTTTGTACTATATTTTACTAGATATTCTTGTTGGTATTTGATCCTTTTGATCCTATTGACGCTCTAAAGTTGCTTAACTTTTGAAAAGTGTGCGTGTGCACGCTGAGAAACAAAATGTTTTTTTTTCTTTTTTTTTTCCTTAATTGTCTGATCAGTTTTCGATTACGAAAAAATGTCTGCAATTCTCCTCAGAGGGAGCAAAATTTTCAGTATTGACCATTTTAATGTTAATATACATATATTATGTATAACATACATAACAATATATTATATTGTTATTAAATATTCGTTGCTTGCTGGTCAAATATCGTACGTATTCTTAGATTTAGAGGTTTACTGTAAATATTCGAATGTGATGATTGACGGACACAATAGCACAACATTTAGCGTAAAAACATGTAAAGAAAGAAATCTATCTGTAATATCGCCTGTGGCGTCAGGATTATCGTTTATTCGAATCTGGTGTCACGCGTCGAGTAATGAAATCTCTTACGAATAGCAAGTCGATAATGCAATAATAAAAATGATAAGGTTCGACAGAAGTTTTATGCAAAGTATTAATGAACGTTATTTAAAGAAAGGTAAAGCGAATAAATGAATTAATGTTAAACGAATTTAACGAATTAAATGTTCACGGAATTACATAACCATATTTGAATTTACAATTATATACGTATATACATATATATATATATATATATATATGTATATACGTATATAATTGTAAATTCAAATATGTTTATTGGACGAAAAAAAGAAAGAAGAAGAAAGAATTGTCCTTCTTGCATTGATTTTCTATTCAAACTTTTTACATAACTTAGATGGCTGACCTACTAGGTAGGCGTGTTAAGGGTTCTAAGTTATCATTAATATGGTACCTACAGATGGTACCTACTATGCGATACAATATATGTATACATAATACATACACGTGTATGTATGGTGCTTTGAATTGTTCTACATACACGTGGAACAATGATGTTCTACAATACGGCAGTACTGTATCATCAACTGGAAGTATTGTGTACCTGTACACTGTTGTAGTAGGCGAAACTGTGTACGTTTATACGTTAAGATAGAAGTTTTATTTATTTTATAAATGATATAAATCGTGCATTCGATTCGTTAATGGAAAGGGCGTCTGAAAGAGACGAAAAAGTGACAAAAGGTGACTTGTAATTTTCATCCGTACTTTGTATCTATAATGAAAGCCTAATCGCCAAGGCAAAGATTCTTTAGAACTAATCGCTCATCTAATTTTATGTTTATCCGAGTAAAAAATCTTGTGTAAACAGATGCATTATTCTTTGCTAGGTTTTCTTCTTTTTGTTAGTTGAAGTTTTAGCGCAGGAAATCAGGTATCAGAATTGTATAACATAGAAATTGTTTGTTTGACAGACTTTTCTGTAACTAATACTATGAACAACAGCTTTTCTGTACAGTGGAACCTCCGTATCTGTGGTTTCAGGTATCCGCGGTTGACCGCGATCCAAAAAAATGAAGTAGAAAATTCTTGAATTCATCACCTACCCCATTCTCTTTATTTCATCTCGTCACTGGCATTGTATCATTACCACCTAACTGAACTTTTTTGGAACCTATCTCCGCGAATACGAGGGTTTCATTGTATATGTAATGCCGTAATCATTGTTCGTACTGACCTGTTGTTAATGACTAATTGCTAAAAATGTTATTGCTTCGTATTCTTCATTGACACACTTCAGACATTATTGACAATTACTTCGCTTACGTAATACCGCTGGTGCTAATACGGAGTGAATAGAAAGATGCGATATAAGTATGAAATTGTTCCATATTTCCAACTGAATCAATCTAACAGAGTAAACTTTTTATTCGTGTAAAACCAAATTTTCCGGAAGAACGATTAATTGCATTGGATATTTGCATATCCTCTCGTCAATTTCAACTTTTCTTCAAATGTGGAGTTATTTCATCGTTTTCACGCTATACCGTATAGAGAGTATCTTATTACGTATCTAAAATTTCAATTGGTAAGCAATATTATAGGAATATATGATACATACCTCATATACTCCTATAACATGAATATATAAATAGGAACATTTATTTTATTAGTTTCTTTTTATATGAACCTTTATTTTATTATGCGAACTAGTTAAATAAAGTTAGTCGCAGTTAAGTGTAATTCACGGTTATGTTGCACTAAAAGTAGCAGTAGAAATGGGGAGAATTCACAAGATTTTTTACGTACAGTACATTCCCAATCTATCCACTAAAAACAGTTCATTAGTCTCTTTCAACTCCGTTTAGAAACATGTTACTTTACTTCTTCCCGAATCGAACATCGATATTTAGCTATGTTTTTTTCGTACGGAGCTGAGCTCTAATTGTTTTTTTTTTTAGAATCTAATGATATGTATACTTTTGTATGATCCCATTTAAAACGTGTCATTGTAATTAATGTAGGGCACATACTTAGCAGAGCATTTTTCTTATTATTCGCGTGAAGGATTAATTTTCTGTCTGCGTTTAACTGTAAGTTAACCGCATTACGATATATATATATGTTATTAATGTCTTATTGACCGTTAATGTATTACTTTATCGAAATTTGGGAAAAAACATTGAGCATCCCAAATTAAAGAATCGAAGGTGTGATCCCTTCGTATTACGATAAAAATGTAAGATAACAAACGACCTAATTGTTGTAAACTTTTGTTTGAAGCAGTTTTTTTTAGGTGTCTCACCCTGTATATACGAAGTGTACAGATTAATTTCGATATTGTTTAGAAATAAAAAGCAGGAATTTCGAAAATGTTATTTTATTAAATGACGATAAGTATAGCTTTGACGTTCAATAAAGAACGAAATAATAGTTTATTTATGCGGACTAATGATGCAACGAATCATTTTTATTTTTTTTTTATTACAATTACCGATATTTTTAATAAAAAAAACGGAGCCAGTGAATATTCTCCATGATATATTTGAATTTTAAATATGTATTGTAATTGAAGGAGTACGTTTTATTTACAAATTGCGCGTATCTGATTTTTGAAAAAGTTCAATTTGCATCAAATAATATTCTTTCATTCTGTATAATTGCAATAAACGAACGCCGAGGAATTTGAAAGTAGACAATAAACAATAATGTAATTAGTAAAAGAAATGTGATTTTAAGGTATTAAGCGTTAATGAAATAATATGCTTTGTTTGTGCTCGTCTAAAATATTCGACGAACATTCCAAATTAAATAAGATTTCTCCAACTTTCAATACCACCGATTATCTGATAAAATAGTGGCGTTTTTAATTACTGCAAAGCAAATTGGCGGTCAATAAGGTGTTAAATTTTAAGTGAACAACGATCGATAATTAATTTTACGGATAAACGATAACTTTTCTAAAATTTTCAAAGAAACACGCGATAAGCTTTAATTTTACAATATGTCTTTCACGTTCTGTAAGTGCCAACGAGAATAAAAAGAAGAACCGAGATCGATTCGACGATTAAACTAATCAAGCATATTGAATTTTAGTAAACTAAAGTTGTGCTTAACACGAGCGTATCAGCTTTGCTTGGTGGATCATGTTCCTCATCTTCGTTCGTACAGTTGAAGGGGTCGATAATCATTATTTAAAGGTTTCATGTTTCTTCTAGGACAAGCGGTCAGCTATTACTTCGATCACAGACGTAAATAAGGGATTTACAATACGCAACGCAATAACATTGATTAAAAAACAATTATGACACGTATACCTCACGATCGTGTTATTCTGTATAAGTTAAGCCGTACGATAAATCATGAAAAGACCTTGAAATACAATGAAAAAAATTGTAAAAACAGTAATACTACGTAATACGTAAAATTTATATAAAAAAGAAAAAAGAGAGAAATGTAATTTATACAAAATCCCGGGTACGAATTATGGGTAGGATTAATTTTTACTACAAAAAGAATCAGAATGATCGAAATGCGGAGTATATACGACTGTGTAACATCGTGTAAAAGAGGACTTGTCTAAGTTAGGTAGTTGTAATTGTATTGTAAACAGGTATTTTTCAAGCTTTTGTTGGTGGTCTATGACGAATCTTTCGTCACTGTGATAGCAAATATTCGACGAAAGTAACTATTTAAATTAATATATATATATAAT